TCCTGTAGAAATGGGGAAACGGAGCCCCAGAGGGGACAAAGGCCCAGCCTGAACCTGAACTCACCCAACCCAAAGCCCTAAAACCAGATAACTTCCACTCCTGCTTCCACAGATCAGAAAATTGACTAGCCCTAACCGGTTTGGCTCAGTGGATAGAGCATTGGCCTGCGGACTGAAAGGTCCCAGGTTTGATTCCGGTCAAGGTCATGGACCGTGGTGGCGGGCACATCCCCGGTAGGAGGTGTGCAGGAGGCAGCTGATCAGTGTTTCTCTCTCATTGATGTTTCTAACACTCTTATCCCTTTCCTTTCCTCTCTGTAAAAAAAAAATCAATAAAATATATTTTAAAAGAAAAGAAAACTGACTCTAAAAGGTGAAATGACCCCCAAGGTCACACAGCAAGGACTGGCCTCTTGCCCAGCTGGACCCTCTCCAGGCTGCCCTCCCACAATGAATCAGCACAGCGAGACCCAAGTCAGCAGAGAGAGGTGCGTTATGAGTAGCCATGGAGTCCTGGAGACACTCGGGCCCAAGGGAGCAGAAAGATCTCAGCCTTAGAGGTCTCAGCCTTGAACCCAAGGGCCTGTGTTCTAATCCTCCTTCCACCACTTCCTGTTTGGCCTTACACAAGTAAGTTCCTGCTCTGAGCCTCCGTGTCTACATCTGTTCGGATGGGCTTAGTAAGACTCACGCCACAGGACAGTTGTGAAGACATAGTGGAAAGACAAAACACCTGGCCCTGCCCTGCCCCGCCTTCCCCGTGCCCTTCTGAGTCCCTCAGACTGTTGAGAGGGAAAAGGGCCCTTGGAGATCCCTGAGATGACCCCCTGAGCCCTCGTTTCAAAGCGGGGGGAGAATGAAGCTGAGCGGGGACAGGCCTGAGCGCTGGCTTGAGAGCTGGGAGCGCAGGGAGGGGAGGCGGAGGGCTGCGGTGTGGAAGCAGGGGGACGGCTGACAGGGCAGTGAGGGGCCACTGGGCTCTCCCCAGAGGGAAAGGGGAGGAGCCACAGGGCAGGAAGTCAGAGAAGACAGGTCCCCACGGCCACCGCCCAGCTTCCTGCGGCAACAGGAACCTCAGGTTCTCAGCAAAACTCCCCCAAGAGACCTCCCTGCCTTACTGCAGCCACCAAGCCCCCAAGGCCCCTCCCATCCGGCCCACTCCTGCCTCGGTGGCCTGCCTGTGAGCATCTGTCCCATGAGTAGACAGCGGTCACCTGGAACTGTCAATCCTCTCTCCGCCTGGGTCTGGAAACCTCTGCGGACACGGGCCAGGTCTCTTCCTCTGCCTCTCGCATGGCTAGCCTGGCACCAAGCTGGGCACACAGCGGCACTGGAGAACCTAAGCCCATGAGCATCCAGGTCAGGGCTGCGCAGGCCATGCCGTCTCCTGCTTCCTGTCCCCCAGTCCTTATTCTGTTCCCATGGGCCCAGCTCAAGCACTGAGTTCAGAGGCTCTTGGAGCCAAGTCAGCTCCATGACACAGATAAAGAAACAGCTCAGAGAGGACAGGACAGAGCTCACATGGCACACACAGAAGAGGGCACCATCGCCAGGAACACCCCAGCCTCTTGCCCAGCTGGCACCGCCTGCAGGACTGACAGAGCTTCTGGGTTCCCATTTCTCACATCACTGCCGGAGCCACCGGGGAGCCTGGCCTGGGCACTGCGAGCCCTGGGTTCAGGTTCCAAGCTGCCCTGCGCCTTGGACCGGAACATATGTTCCGTATCTGCCTCGGGGACAGGACTTCTCCTCTCGGGAGGCAGTGTCTGCCTCCTCTCCAGTGCCCAGAGCAGAATGCAGGCCTGGGGCCAGGCTGGGCTGGAGGCCAGGAGGGAGGGGGAAAGGGTGGGGGTGGCCTCCAGCAGCCCCTTCCCTTTGTCCTGGCACCAAACGCTGGGCCCAGTGCCACAGCGGCTATCAGAGACCTCTGGACACAGAGGCTGGAGAAGATAAGTCAGGGGGAAGGGAGACGAGGCGGAGAAAATCAATCAGGTAGACGGATAGGCCAATGCGGATCCACACCCCCACCCTGTGATCACAAGCGCGGGGCATGTCCAGGGGGCAGCAGCCCTTTCCAAAAGGGGGCAGGCCCAGGAGGCTAGGGCAGGAGCGGGGGAGGGGGAAGTTCAACAAACACCTGTGATTGAGTTCCAGCCTCCAGGGGTGATTCAATCATCTCTGGGACTGTGGCTTCAGACCTGCTGTGTGACCTTAGTAAGTCACACCCCTTTGTGGCCTCGGCTTTTCTTGCATCAAAGGAGAAGGGGATGATGAGAACACTGTGTCCTTCAAAGAGTTTTTTTTTTTTTTAATGTTTTAATCTTTACCTGAGGGTATGTGTTTATTGAGAGAGAAACATCGATGTGAGAAACATCCATTGGTTGCCTCCCATTCACATCCTTACAGGGGATTGAACCCGAAATCTAGGTATGTACCCTCACCAGGAATCGAACCCGAAACCTTTTGGTGTATAGACCAATGCTCCAACCAACTGAGCCACCAAGGCATCAAAGGGCTGTTGATGGGGTCAAAAGCCATAACACTGACTAAGGTGTGAGCCCAAGTGGAGAGGGGCAGAGACTCTGGAGCCAGGCTGTCCTGGGTTCCACTCAGCTGCCCTCTGACCTGAGGCAAGTAATACCACCGTTCTCAGCCTCAGTGTCTTTGTTTGTAGCATGGAGATAAGCCTACGACTGCCCAAGACTAGCCTGAGGGCAAATCAGATGATGGAGAAAAATGCTTGGTTCAAAGCAGGGCCTCTCAGAAATGGTATTCCTGAAATTTTGGGAGTGGGCAGCTCAGAGGCCTCCACCCATCTCCCAGAGTGCCACCTGACGGTGCCGAGGGGACCAGGAGTGGGGTACAGGATGCCTACAATCAACACCCCAGACTGGTCCCTGGGCCCCAGCTCTGCTCACCCACTATCCCCAACTTTCACTCCACTGGAGGGAGCAGACCTAGAGGGCAGCCATAAGGAGGAAAATGAGACAGAGAGGGCAAGGCGGGGAGGCTAGAAATCTGGGTTCCAAGCTCCACTCTGTTGGCACTTGGCTGGGTGACCCTGGGCTGGCCCCTGTCCCTCTCTGGGCCTCAGAGTCCTCATTAGCACCTCAGTGAGGGTAGGAGGGGGGAAGGGGAGTATGAAATAGGGATTGCCAGGAGCCCTTTGGCACTTCCAATATCTGCCTTGTCTGAGAGGGAAGAAGGGACAGGGTCCTGGCTGCCAGGGAGAGGATATGCCTTAACCATAGCCCACAAGCCCAGTTTTTCCGAGTCCCTTCCGCACCCAAGGAAGACTACCAGACAAGACAAGTCTGCTGTGGCCACAGGAGGTCTATTGTAGCAGTCTGGCCCCCAGACCCACCACCCCCGTCCTGGACAGGACTGGTTTATCCATTAACCATGCCAGGTGGAGGCGGCAGCTCCACCCTGTTGACAGGATGGGCGTGCTAGCCTCCGTTCAGATCTTTCCCTTCCTTCCCTCTGGGGAGCCGCTCAGCGGGGGAACTATGCTCTACGTTTCCCTCCCTACCGTGCAGCCATCCTTCAGCCTTTCCCAGGTCACCGTCAGGAGAGCAAACTTGTTCTCAAAACAACCTTGCTCACCTTTCACTCAGTTTGTTCCTCCCTCTCTTCCTTCCATTCTCCGTCCAGCCAGCATCCCTGCGCTGCCTGTGCTGGGTGCAGGGGACACAACCTGGGCTGGGACCCATCCCCTGTCTACCGTGAACGCCACGCTTGGACACACCAGCGGCCCTCCCCGTCCCTGCACCCCTGGCTCAGACACAGGTCAGGCCCCCAGGGAGGCGCCCGAGCCCACCGTCCTGAGTCCCGGAGGGGGAGACACATGGAAACTCCGAGAGAAAACGAAAGCCAGGCAGGCAGCACGCAGAGCGTGATAGAGGGCAGAAGGGTGAGCCAGAAGGCCACACGGGAACAGATGGGCAATGCTGAACATGACTAAGACAAAGGGAAGCAGAAAGGTGCAGGGCCAGAGACGGAACATCAGACATCTCTGGCTCTGGTGTGAGGCCAAGGTGTCTGAGCGAAGTCTGGGAGCAGGGCCTAGGCAAGGGGGTGGGGAAAGAGTGGGGGGGGGAGGGCAGGAGGCCCTCCAAGTCCAGTGCCCTGATCCACCAACCCTTGCAACAGGAATCCACATCTTCACGGTGCCAGAAGGACGGCAGAAGGAGAAGGGAAGAGGAAGGGAAGGGAGGGGAAAGGGCACAGCCTACTGCCAGGAGCCGGCTGAAGGGAGCCCGACCCCCCTGGAAATGGGGCACTCACACAGTGCCAGGTGTGCCAGGGGCGGCTACTGATGCCTCCAGACCAGAGTCTTCACCAGCCTCCGCTCTGTCTGGGCCCCCAGGGAGATGAGCTCACGGGGTCCCACACCCTCAGCCTGCCTTGACCAGGCAAAGAAAGAAGCATCATGGGGCTATAATGAATGGGGCTGATGGCTGTCAAGGGGGTGATGGGCCCTGCCTCCTCTTGTCTCCCTTGGCCCCCTCCCATCCCAACCCACCAACCAGCCTGGCCCTGCAGAAGGCAGGGGACATCCCCACCCTGCCTCTGAGGTCTGCTAGCCACAATCCCGAGTCCCTGCGGCAGACTTGGGGAGCAGCCAGGGACAGAAGGGGGAAGAGCAGGGCACCGGGCAGGAAGGGATGGGATCCCTGGCACCCAAGTGTGCAAAGCGTGGGAAAGAGACCCAGACTCAGGCTGAGAGAAGCGGGAATTAGGAAGAGAAGGACTCAAGTCTCCCACCTTGAATGACTCACATCGGTTAGGAGGAGAAGGCTTGTGGGGGCAGAAGGGCCCCTGACGGGAGATCACCTCCCGGGAGCAGGCAGAGGCACGCATGGAGCATGCCTCAGTTGGCCCATCTGTGGAATGGGGCTTGCAGAACACACTGTGCCTCTACCTAGTTCCCCAGCAAGAGACTGAACTGCACAGTCAGGTGCAGGGAGTGAGGCGCATTGTCCGGTACCCAGCCCTACCTTGATCTTGTGCAGAGTCCGATCCATCTCCACAGCCTGCACCCACACAGACACGCCGGCCTTGCTGTAGGTCAGGTTCCAGCCCGCCTCGGCCTCGCACTCTGACCGGAAGCTGCGGAAGTCCTGGTCGTCGGGCACCTGGACGCTGTCGCGGCCCAGGACCGGCCGAGGCCCCTGGGGCTCCGTCGAGGCCGCAGACTTCTCCATGGGGAGGCCCGGGGCCCTGGTCCTCGTCTGGCTCTCCTGGGTCCTCCGCGGAGGCTCCGGCGGCGGCAACGTCGACGCGGCTGCAGATGCTGACGCCACCTTCCCGGGACCTGCAGGACCGGTTTGGGGACCGGAGTCAGCGCGCTGGGGGCGCGGGTGGGGCGGTCCGGGGTCCGGGGCGGGGGCAGAGTTCGCCGGAGGCAGGGGCTGGCCCCCGGGGAGGTCCATCGGCCTGGGACAGACCCGGGGCCAGACCCAAGGGGAGACCCGGACCGCCCCGAGGCGGGGAGTGGGGGTTGCGTGTCAGGGGTGAGGGGGGGGGGCGCGCGAGAGCCGAGGGGGTCCCGGGGAGGCCGGAACCCCAAGTGGGGAGAGCCGGGCGGGGACCGCGCAGAGCTGGCCGGACCAGCTCAACTCACTCGGGCAGCGGCGCCGGCCCGGGAGGAGCGCGGGGCGCGGGGCGGGGGCGCCGCCGGCCGCCGCTCACCTGTGCCCCCTGCTCCGCCGGGCCCCGGGCCGGGGTGCGAGCGCCGCCGCCGCCGCCGCTGCCCCGGCGACCGGGCCGCGCGGGGGCTCCGGGGGGAAGGGCAGTGGGTCCCCCGTTTGGGCCGCCCCGCGCCCCCGCCCCGCGCGCCCTGCCTGCCTCCCTCCCTCCCTCCCTCGCTCCCTCGGGCCGGACTGGGGGCTCGGGGGCACCGCGCCGGGCTCGGTGTTTTCCAGGCTGCGGAGGGACCGCCGACCGGCTCCGGCCCCGCCCCGCCCCGCCCGCAGGGTCCTAGCGCCCGCCCCGCCCGCAGGGAGGGGACCTGGCCCGGGAGGGACCCGTCTCCAGGCAGCGCTTGGGGGAGAGGCCGAGAGAGAGTGCGCTCTGATCGGAGGGACTAGCGATTGCTAAGAATAGTAATGCTGGAAGTTAACTGTGAACCCCTTCTCTCCCCTCCCCCCCCCCGCCCATATTCGCAGGTACACAGCTCTGCAACAACCTACTTACACGCAAGGCACGCTGACCCCAGAGCCCAGAGACACCTCCACACGACACCCCAGAGACCCAATGAGGGCACGCACAACCAAGAGCAACTCAGAGTTGCCCGCAGCTTGCATCCCTGACCAACCGCTAGCCGCAGGGTTCACAGGCTGGCCAGACTTGGGCAAAATCTCCACTCTCAGCTGGAGCTGTAACAAGACTCCCCCGCCTCTCCCCAGCCCTCGACTCGGGCCCTTGTCCATCACCACCCGCTCTGAGCACCCCTGTGTGTGTCCACACATCTCCCGTGGACTAGACGTGGCTCTCAAAAGCATCTGGCTCCAGGGCACTGGGGCTCCCTGTCCCTTCCTAAGCAGAGCCAGGGGAAGATGTGTCCACCAGCACTCCAACCACCCCTTCCAGCCACCTTCCCTCTGGGTCCTGGTGCCAGCTCTGCCTCCAGCCGCTCTGTGTGCACTGAGGCCAATAGTTCAACTTCCCCGAGGCCCGGCCAGTCCGTGTGGCAGAGGGCCCAAGGCCGAACATTCACTGACCCCAGGGACTGGCCCTTGACCACAGAGGAGGAGGGAGGGCCCGGGGTGAGTTCCCCTGAGGGGCAGCTAACAGGGTCCACAGGTGCCCACTACTTGCCCAGCACTGCACAGTGAGTACATGGGCATCCTGTCCAAAACCCAGGTCTCAGCCTCCTCCCATCCCAGGGTTCCTTTCTCTGCTCTGGCTTCCCTATCCTCTCTGGGCCTTAGTTTCCTATCTGTAAAATGCGGGAATCAGCATGTGTAACCTCCTAGCCTCACCAGCCTAGAGCTCTGGGATGGAACAGCTTCTCCTAAAAGTCCCTAGAGAAAGATGAGGAATTGTCTAATTGTGGGTTCACAAATGTAGTCCTGACATGCTTAGGACATTGAGATTTTTTAAATGTATTATTATTATTATTATTTAATCCTCATCTGAGGATATTCATAGGCTGCCTCAAGCACCCCCAAGCAGCAGGGAAAAGGTTCTGTCTGCTCAAGGGCATAAGAGTGAGCCCAGCCAAAACCAGTTTGGCTCAATGGATAGAGCGTCAGCCTACAGACTCAAGGGTCCCAGGTTCGATTCTGGTCAAGGGCATATATCTTGGTTGCGGGCACATTCCCAGTAGGGAGTATGCAGGAGGCAGCTGATCGATGTTTCTAACTTCTCTCTCCTTTTCTCTCTGTAAAAAAGTCAATAAAATATATTTTTAAAAAGACTGGGAGGGAGAGTCTGAGGGAGGAGTCTGAAAAGTCCCAGGACTCAGCCACCCTGCTTCCCATAGTCTGGCAGTGAGGAGTGATTACCCAGAGTGCTCTGGGTCTTACATGTGCCCCTCACACACAGAGAAACCCAGCCCCCTAGAGGCACAGGGACGTTTCTGAATCGCACAGCAAGTCAGAGCCCATACTCTGTGAATGGAGCAGGGGGGAAGGGGCAGGGCCCTTGCCTGGAGTCACCCAAGATCTGGTTCCTAACATTCCCTTCAACTCCCACACTGGGTTGAACTAATTAATACCTTATACTACTGTAGCCCCAGCGCCTCATGATACAGATAGAGAAACAAAGGCCCAGCCCAGCCAGAAGGGACAAAGTAGAGATAAGAATCTTGGTCTCTAGCCCTAACTGGTTTGGCTCGATGGATAGAGCGTCGGCAGGTGGACTGAAGGGTCCCAGGTTCGATTCCGGTCAAGGGCATGTACCTTGGTTGTGGGTACATCCCCAGGAGGGAGTGTGCAGGAGGCAGCTGATGGATTAACTATGGAAAATGACCAAATGTATTACATATGTACATACTGGGGTTCCATAAAAATATGAGACCCAGGACACATTGGGCAGTTGCAGCTTATATGCCATTTTGGACAAAGGTTTGGGGTTAAGGGAAAGCAGTTAATTCAGAGGCAGATGAGAAGGACCTAATGTGTGGCAAACAAATTCTCACTGAGCCATTCAGAAACAATGGGACCGAGAAGAGTCTCTAACAAAGTTCCTGAAGGCCACTAATCATCTGAGAAATCAAATCAGCTAGCCCTCTCCCTTCCACTCTGTAAAAATCAATAAAAATATATATAAAAGGCCGAAACCAGTTTGGCTCAGTGGATAGAGCGTCAGCCTGTGGACTGAAGGGTCCCGGGTTCGATTCTGGTCAGGGGCATGTACCTTGGTTGCAGGCACATCCCCGGTGGGGGGTGTGCAAGAGGCAGCTGATCGATGACTCTCTCTCATCGATGTTTCTAGCTCTCTATCTCTCTCCCTTCCTCTCTGTACAAAAATCAATAAAATATGTTTTTTTTTAAAAAAGAGCAAGGGACATTAAAAAAATAATATATATATATATATATATATATATATATATATGAATCTTTGTCTCTATTATCCTATATAATAAAACCCTAATATGTAAATCAATTGAACTGCAGAACAACCGGTCGCTATGATGCACCCTGACCACCAGGGGGCAGATGCTCAACGCAGGAGCTGTCCCCTCGTGGTCAGTGCGCTCCCACAGGGAGAGCACCGCTCAGCCAGAAGCAGCCAGCTCGCCGGCAAGCGCAGCGTGGTGCGGTGGCAGCGCTAAGGACCCCTCGGGGAATGTCCGCCTCTGGCTTAGGCCCACTCCATGCTGCAGATGGACAACCCCCGAGGGGTCCGGGACTGCGGGAGGGTGCAAGCCGGGCTGAGGGAACGGCCCCACCTCTAGTCAACAATAAAAAGATAGATATTAAAATAAGAATAATAATCTTGGTCTACCCGCTCTTAGCCCAAGACTCTGTTCCTGTTCCCCATTACATGACACCCCTTTTACTACCCTGGGGGTAACCTTGGCACAGTCACCACCCACTCTCTGCCTCAAGATTCAGCCCCATCCTCCCAGTCCCAAGTCTTGACTTGCTCCTGGGTCCCCCCCTCCTACTCACCATCTAGTCAGACATATGGATGGCTGCCTGGATCTCCCTCTGGGACATGAGGAGAAGACCCCCCTCTGACTCCTCCCACCCCACCACCTCCTCAGGGGTCACTGGGCCTGCCAGTCTGGGTGGAGAAATTTTCCAGGTTGCCTAGGGCAACGAGGCAGCATTCTGGGGTCACTGTTCTAGAAGGTTGTGCAATGACCTGTGTGATGTCACCAGGAAGTAGCAGAGTGGAGAGGTGGTTCCAGGGGCCCCTCTGAAAGGCCCAGAGCAGAGCACTCTGAGGCCCCCGGGGCGGGCTTGTCCTTGAGGAAGACATGTCCTTTACAGTCTGGCGGCCACAGGCTCTGCGCCCCAGTCCCTTCGGGAGCCGGATCTAAGTGTTTGCCCAGGGCGGGCTGGGCCTCCCTCAGCAAACAGCCCGAACCCTGCCTTGAGGGAGCCCGGCTAGAGCCTGAGAGAGTCACAGAGAGATACACGGTCAGTTACCCACATCCTCACTCCGCCTGCTGACTGTCACAGCCGCAGAGCATCACTGACGTCCTCTCCGAGTCCCACATGACCACACACCATCTCAGCTCTTTCCTGTCCGGCCAGCCATGCTTAGGCATGCGAGGTTACCCAGAGCACTGAAGTAGAGTCATTAGAGAAAGCATCGGACACCTAGTGAAATTTGATTTTCAGATTAGCAAAGAATCATTTTTAATATACGTATGTCCCAAAGATTTGCTAAATCATGCAACCTGATGCCTGAGGCTACATCATAAAGCCTTGAAGGGCTGCTCACCAGTCCCCTCATAGACCTCAGTCCCCTGTGGATAGAAAAAAAAGGGGGGGAGGGGTGCCCTAGCCTGTTTGGCTCAGTGGATAGAGTGTTGGCCTGTGGACTGAAGGGTTCCGGGTTCGATTCCAATCAAGAGCACATGCCCAGGTTTCGGGCTTGATTGGCAGTAGTGGGCATGCGGGAGGGCAGCCAATTGATAATCATCTCTCATTGATGTTTCTATCTCTCTCTCCCATCTCCTTTCTTCTCTGAAAAAAAAAAAAAAAAAAAAAAAAAGGTAGGCAGGGGGGTATTTTGGGAAGTAACC